CACACACACACACACACACACACTTACACTCAAACACACGCACACTTACACTCACACACACACACACACACTCACACAGATACGCATACACTCAAACACACACTGAGATACACGCACAATCGATACACGCCCACTCACACACACACTCACTCACGCACATATACACACCTGCACATACACACACACAAAGATACATACATACAAACAATACATATAAATAAAAACGGACGTCTGTCTCTCTCTCTCTCTCTCTCTCTCTCTCTCTCTCTCTCTCTCTCTCTCTCTCTCTCTCTCTCTCTCTCTCTCTCTCTCTCATATAATTATCTCATTCACTGTAACTTCTATGTCACGGTCGCTATAAACTGTCACTGGCACTGTCACTATATCTTTTTATGACATAATTATTGTCACTGTCACGTTAACTATTTATGACATCTAGTTATTGTCACTGTCACGTTAACTATTTATGACATCTAGTTATTGTCACTGTCATGTTAACTATTCATGACATCTAGTTATTGTCACTGTCACGTTAACTATTTACGGCACTATAATGGTCACTAATACAGTTTATGAAACTGTTATTCTCTCTGTCACTGTTTATGACACGTTATAATTTCTGTCGTCACTATTTATGACTGTCACTATAAACTGTTTATGACACCGTTATAATTTCTGTTGTCACTGTTTATGACTCTGTCACAGTCTTGTTTCGTGTCACAGTTTTGTTTCGTGTCACAGTCTTGTTTCGTCTTCTCCACTGATTCACTTTCATGTCTGTGGTTAGGACAAATAGGACAGACAGTTTCCGCTTTAGACAACGCAGTCTATGACTCATGACGCACACAATCGAAAACACACACACACGCACCAACACCGTGGGTATATAATAGTGTGTGTGTATATGTGTGTATGTCAGTTTATTTGTGTGTGTGTGAGTGTGTGTGTGTGTTTGTTTGTGTGAGTGTGTGTGTGTGCGTGTATGCGCGCGCGCGCGTGTGTGTGTGTGTGTGTGTGTTTGTGTGTGTGTGTGTTAGGTACCTTCGCTAAAACACTCCACACACATAACAGTAGCATATTAGACGCTACGAACAGTCAGTTGGCTACATTACTTAAATTTTAAAACATAAAATTCACAACACAATACACATTTATTACAACAGACAACTCTCAAGACTCTAACAAACACAACATGGCAGAAAACAGCACAGTAGGCTATGACGCAGTATAAAATAACACACAACTCATTTTATGTTCATCGTGGGTGTCTTTTGGTTTAATTCTTTCTGAGACTGTTACAAAATCAGGGTCAACGGGTGTGAAGAAACCATGACTCGAGCAAACATTATGAGACGAAGATTTCCACCGACTGGAAAACGACGCATCTCTCTCTCTCTCTCTCTCTCTCTCTCTCTCTCTTGTCTCTAGCCCACACGTGTGTATAATTCCGGGATATCTAGATCTGTACCCACTCTCTACACGACAAGAGCCTCATAAATTAGACCAGGCTGCGTTCTAAGGTCTTCAGAGACCCGCGCAGTTTTTCAGTCCGCCCCAGGTCCCAGGTTGAGAAAAAACCCAGTGAGGTGACAAAGCTTTGTTCGCACCTCCAGACATGGGGAACAAGTGAAATAGATAAACGCAC